TTTACATAGTTGTTGTTTACGAACATTTTTAAGACAAAATCACCTTAGAAAGTTTCTACATATTGTATGAATTTCATCAACAACCTATGTGAAACTATGAATACTATTTACAGTCAAATATGATATTATCAATACAGAAATACATATACAGGATGAGTTACATAACTTATCCACCCTGAGTAACATATAGAGTATGTGTTCTACAAAAAAGTGTTATATACAGAAATTGCACTGTATCAAAGGGAACATATGATGCTTTTTTAAATAACCTATTTGTTTATAAGATACCTTTTTATATCAAAATTTAAAAGAGCAGTGAATTTTCTAATCATTTCAGCATATATAAAACACTTTTTTGTAGAACACATATTTGGGAAGTTGTATGGGGTAAACAAGTTACATGACTCACCCAGTGTCTAATTATCACAATATACTTTTATTTATTGATATAAACTTATTTTCCACAATCTGACTCAATTGACTCACAAACATGTATTGATATAAAATAATATTTTTGTTAAACATTATTAATAAAATTAATTAATAACGATACTTTGTAGAATAATCTTTAGGTGAAACAACCAAACCTCTACCTTTCCTAGCACCTCTGTAAACTGTTTCAATAATATCTATCATTTCTTGCTTGTCCTCTAATGTCCAATTTATTTTATTATTGTTCCCTGTTCCTAAGTCAATCATTATGTGTTTGTTTCTAAAGAAAAACATCACTGTACAAGGGTCATATAATTCGTACCTATAAACAATAAAATTTACATTTTTTAAAAACTGATATAAAACAATTGGTAATTATTGGGAATAGTGTCCTCAGCACCGATTTCAATGACTTTGAAATATGTTGTCAAGGTCAATATTCTAACTAACTTTTCCTTATACATGTTACCGCCGGACTTCTTTAGTTTTTAAGATATACGCAAAAATACTTTCAATGTTAGGTATCATATTCTGTAGGTTTGAGGTAAGTTGAATTTAGTACATGCTTACATTATGTTTGAGTTACCTTTGGCTTTATTTGCTTAATCCCTTAACATATAACATCCTTATTGCAGAACAACGTGAAATTAAGAAAAATACATTTAAGCGGTTACTGATTAATTCGGTCGTTGGTAAGTGAGCGACAGTCAACGTTCATTATTAATTGACCATTAACGGGTTCATTTGACCATCGCAACGTGGCCCTTACGCAACAGTGATCATTAACGAACATGTCAAACAAATAAAGCAAAATACTTTGTACATTTATCTAGTGCTCTCAGTTTGGGAAAGTTTAAAACTCAACATCTTCCTGCTTAAATGGACGACTGCCTGGCAATGACCGGAATGTTTGTCTAATATGACCTAACGTAATCTAACATAATACGTGATTAGGTTAGGATAGGTTAATATTCCAACCGCCGCCAGGCGGCTGGCCATACATGCTCAAATTCAAAATCATTGAAATCGGTTAAGTATGATCTTTAAGTTTATATGTATATTGTTATATTGTTGTTTATAGAAACAAAATAACGTTCTTGTCAACATATTTCATGGTTAAAAAAAAAAACTGGAATGAAATAGGAAAAATTGGCAAAAGGCACTAAACTGCACAATTACCATATATCTTTACTGATGTCTCGAAAAGTAAAGGAGTCCCGCGGTAACATGTATAGAGAAAAGTTGTTTAAAATGTTAATTTTGAAAACATATTTCAAGGTCACTGAAATCGGTGCTGCAGACCCTATTCCCAATAATTACCAAAGAATTATATATTTTTGTTTACTAATAGAGTAATATTATTGGAGAGTTAAAAATTGTATAGGATATTTAAAAAAAAGTGTTCAAGACTTTAAAGGCTTATAGAACTCACCAAAAGGAGCAAAAAATGTTCTACGAAGACATTCACTTACAACATACAATATTTATGAATGATAAAAATCGATTTTACAACAAAAGAATTGATTGCACAACCTATGTTGATAGGATATTCTTTGCTCCTTTTGGTGAATACTATAAGCCCTTAAAGTCTTGAACACTTTTTTAAACACCCTGTATAATTTATACTTGAAGTACATATGACAACAATGTAAAAAAAATTAACAATTTTTAATTGCATTCAAAATACTTTCTTTTTAAATTATTTAAACTTACATTTTATTAAAGTCAGGTACTTGTGTGATATCAACCAGATAAATGACAGCAAAATTTTTTACTTTCTCAGCAATATTATAAAGAACTTCATCCATTTTCATACACATTGGGTCCCAATCATGTCCAAATCTGATAACCTAAAGCAATATAATTTAACATATCTAGCACTAATATTTAATAACTTCGTTCATATGTAAAAAATCCGGAAATTTCGAAATAAAAGCTTAATTGTAAATACTACTTAGGTAGAAACTTACAACTACTCTGTCTTCTTCCGACAAAATTGCCTGATCCACTTGCCATCCGTTGTGAAGATGTGATAACATATAAGACATTGTGCTTTTTATTTATTAAACATGCGTTAAAGTAAAATGAATTAGATTTATTTAACACAACCTATCTTTTTCTATTCACATTTAAAATACTTCTTGTTGCTGTATTTCACAGGTGAAACACCGAAACAACAATACACTTAACAAATTAGTTTATTCACATAACATTTACTATGTAATTAAGATTATAAATTATAAAATTTCGTTTTTACTTCACTGAAAGTATTCAATACTACATCACAGTGAGTTACTGCAATGTTTATACGTGAAAGTAGAAATTCATTGATACCAATATATTAGCAGTACCAAATAAATCCCTAGTCTTATTTTAGCTCTGTAAGTAGAATATTTGTTTTATAATCTTTTAAGTTTTTTTTTTATAACTTTTTTTTTCTTATTTATTCTTCTTAAATACATATAGAATGATTTGTTATAATCATATTAATTCAATGTCAAAGTTTTATTAAATTTCAAATTCCACAAACTTGACGTATTTCATTCAATGATGAAAACGAAGATTATTTTATTCTAGTATTTGATAAAATTTTAACGTATTTTACTGATAGCTCAATAATCTTAAACTTTGATCGATTCAAACAAAAAGATAAAAATTGACAATAATATACGTGAAGTTAGTGTTTCACGTGTTGATTTTGTGTCTTCCTATTTATATTGACGATAGGAAGTGATATGGCACGGCTGTCAACGTGTACATTTTCCATGTGTATATTTGCTGTCTGTCTCCTGCCTTTTTTTTTTTTAAATAA